TTATAAATCTATAGGTGATTTATACAGGAATACATTTAGTTAATTAGTCTTGGCCTGCCACTGTACTACAGCTCTGTAAATCTCTTTCTGGCAAACAAGATAATTTTTAAAGATTGTCTTTTAGAGTGAAGACTGCTGTCTAATTGAAGATTATTCTCCTTTGCACATAGAATAAGTGGGGGTTTTTTTACATTGTGAAAATTTTAAATTTTGAATCTTTCTTATGTTGTTACTGGCCCAATTTCAAAACAAATTTGAAATAAACTTTACTTAATTAGTTGGAATACTATAATTGAATTCTGTCTGCTTAAAAATAAAGCCAGTTACTGGATTGACTCGGAATACATTAAAGATGTTGTAACTCTCAGTAATGGTTTATTGGCTTGTGATGTCAAAGTTAAAATTTACAGCCTGCTTTTTTTTCCAATCCTTGATGAGATTAGCTTTCTTTAGGTTTTCAGCAATTTTTTTTTTAACCATTTATAAAGTAACTAGTTTTGCCTGGCTCCATTGGTAGATTGATGCTGTACAGGTATAACAATTGTGAGCCTCTTCCCAGATTAATAAGAAACTTCATTTTTTTCACTCTGTTCTTCCCTAATATTTTAAGACATATTAGGAGAGAGAGGGGTTGAGAAGGAGTGGTTGTTAGATCTTAAAGGTAGTAAAGGTGGAACTCAGACTAGCCTGTCAAGACTAGAGGACTCCCCAAATGTTGACTTAGATGTTCTTGGACCACCATTCCTGCCCCCACTACCTATTTCATGATATAGCTGAAGATTAATGCAGTTGAAATTGATGGAAGGTAAACGGCAACTAAATTGTTCCCACAGAGTGAAAAAAAAAGGGCCTTATATAGTAGTTGAAAGGATTGGAGGAAGCAAGATGGAACCTGAAGGGCATTTGGTGTTGTGAAGTGTTGCATCTGGATTATGTTATGGCTATTATTCTCCCCACCTTGCTGGCAAAGTTCATTCAGTCGTATCACTTCAGGGGGTAGCATTCACATAGAATTGAACACTCTGAGCCAGACTGAACACTCCAGCAATCTTGTAATGATGGGGTTTTAGCAGAACCACTTTCCCATACTGGTTTTGACCTTTCATTTACCTTGTTGCTGACTCTAGAAGCTCAGTGTCTTTGGCAGCCTGAGAGACAAAACACTCATTGTAGTATTACTTTGTGCCAGGTACCTTTGTAAGTATTTTGCGTGTATTCATTTATTCCTTCCAATGACCTTATGAATATATACTCTCAGTATCTTCATTTCACAGATGAGGAAATTAGTACACGAAGTTTAAAAGTATGTTGCTTAAACTTACCCAGATATTAATAACTGGCAAATTTAGGAAGCAAACCCAGGTGGTGTAGCTCCAGAGTGTCTTCTTTTTCCACTATGCTATACTACACTATTTTGTTTTTCCCCAATTGCCTAAATCAGTCATTCAGTTATTTAGTCATTTAACAAAATTTCATTGAGCATGTACTTTGTGCCAGGCACTTTATAGGGCTGACAACAAATGCTTTACCCTCCTGGAACTTATATTTTAGTTTAGGGAAAGAGATAATTAATAATTAAGCAATAGGGTAATTTCAAGTAATGATAAGTGTTTAAGAAGAAAAATGAATAGTGTGTTAGCTGCAATTATGAGGGAAATCTCTGAGGATGTGACACTTCTTTTGAGACTTGAATGGTGAGAAAGTGAATTAGGGTAGAATTTTCAATTTTGTTTCTGGTTACCTAGCTATTTAGTTGCAAACCTAGAATTAGAACCCAAAACTTTCCATGAAAAGTTCTATACATAATATTCTGTCATTCATTCTTTGGCTTGAGCATATATATGCATGCGTTGTAGGTAGGTGCTAGAGATCATTAATGATGAGGCAGTAAAATTTCAGGTGTGCATGAAGAATCATTTAGCTGTCACATTTTTGCTTAATACTTGATGGAACAAAGGTTCTCATTTAAAAGCACTGAAAGAATAATTGATTCATATATGAAAGGACTGTGGTCAAAGGGGCTTCTCTTAACATCAAGATACAGTTTTGTGATTGCAGCTGTTGAAATGGTTGTGGATTTTGAATCAAAAGACCAAGTGTCTGGTCTTCATTCTGAATTAAATTCATCACAACCTACACCTTAATTGTCATTTGTGAAACTGCACTGAACTAGCTGGATTCTAAATTCCCTGTCCTACCAGTCTTAGTGTAGTATCAGTCTTTCCCCAGATTGGACTTGAGGGTGAGAGTAGAGAAGGCCTACGGCCTGTCACAGTATAAAAAGAAACAACTAAACTTTATTTTTTATCTAGTTTTGATGGGCCAAACAGAATGAATGGATAGACAGTAAATTGGATTGAGACTAATCTAGTAGATGAGAATTGTGCTTTAATAACCAAACTGATCTGAAATTCTGGAGCTGTTTTGTGCTCTACAGAGATTTGATTCTGAGAGAAATTTCTAGGGGGAAAAAAAATTTAAGGTAAAATTCTGGGTGAGTTAAGGAGTTAAAAAACAATGCACAGCCTGGCCGGGCGTGGCTCAGCGGTTGAGCACCCACCTGGGATCCAGGCGATCGGGGTTTGATTCCTGGTCAGAGCACATGCCCAGGTTGCGGGCTTGATCAACGACTCTCATCATGGATGTTTCTATCTCTCTCTCTCCCTCTCCTTTCTTCTCTCTCTGAAATCAATAAAGATATATTAAAAAACAAAACAAAACAAAAAAACCACAATGCACAGAATGGGGAAAAAAATATTTGCTTATCCTTTATCAGATAAGGGACGTGTACCCAGAATACATAAGGAACTCTTATAATATACAACAGTAAAAAACAACCCAATTTAAAAGGGGACAAAAGATTTGATAGACACTGTTCCAAAGGAGATAGCATAAATGGTCAGTAAACAAATGAAAATATGCTCAGCATAATTAGTCCTTAGGGAAATGAAAGCAAAACCCTAAGGAGATACCACTTCACCCACTAGGATGACTATAGTAGAAAAGATGGACAATAACAAGTGTTGGCATGGATTTGGACAAGTTGGAACCCTTACACGTTTCTGAAGGGAATGTAAATTGGTGTTTCCTCTTTGAAAAACAATTTGCCAATTCCTTAAGACATAGGTACTATGTGGCAGTTGAACAGTTACCATATAACTCAGCAATTCCACTCCTGGGGGGGTGTGTGTGTGTGTGTGTGTGTGTGTGTGTGTGTG